GGTGGCACGAAATGCCCCCTCCCGTCAATAAATAGCGCCTGTGCCACTTCTCTGCTCAAAAGTGCTCGGGAACGGGCTGGAGGATAATGATCTTCGAGTGCCATCTGCGTCTCCTTACGATAACCGCTCTGTTCTCAAGATGCAGCGCAAGGAGTACCAAGCCCTCGCAACGAAACACGCACTCAGCAGTAGCTAACAACCAGAAGTGAGAGGGCACAGACAAGCAGCGAGTTTGGCTGTGGCTACGCGTGTGGCTGGCCCTGAGGTAGCGCGGGCGGAGTATGGAGACGGCAGCCGTCTTTCAGCCCCCGTTTCTGTGCATGTTTGACCGGAAAAAGTGGCACGCTATCCAGCTGCTGACTTACTCACCCCAACCGTTGCAGGGTCTCTACGGGGGTAAGTGTTCGGGTTGTCTCCAAATAATGTGCAGTTTAGCACCATCATTTCCAAATGTGTTTGAAGTGAGCCAATGTATCCATACACAAAACTTACCTCGTAAACCATCGCAGAAGCGCTCCCCATGTGGCAAGGCTAGGATCTCGCGCTCTGGGTTCCACGTCCATACTTTTGTATGTCTGGAAGAATTACTTTCTTCAGCATGTACAGTTCTGAGCGCCAATGGGAAGGGATGGGGCAGGCTAGAGGAATGCGTTTGATACTGAGACAAAACCACGCTTATCCCTTACCAGGGTACAGCATCGCTGTGCGAAACACAGGGGGATCGTACCTTTCCGCTGTAGATGGGTTCGTATTCGGTCGTTGTTGGGAGAGGGGGGGTGGCATGTGCTTCTGTGAAGAATTTGCCGCGTTGGGAAAAAATTTTTCGGTTGTTGATTTTTCTTGATTTTTCCTGTTTCATGTGTACTACTTATCTCACCCCTCCAACCCCCCTCCACCCTTCCCGCTCGACGGAAATTTTCTGGGTGAAAAACTGGAAAATGTGGGGAAAATTGTAGTTAGGAGTTGGGGAAGGGAGGGGGTGTACCAGACCCTCATTTAGGTGAGGGTCGTACTGACAACCTCCCTCGAGGGGGGGGGGGTCGTACCTACACCACCACTTCGCACATCACGATGCTGTACCCTGTGCCTTACTCATCTGGGCCCTCTCATCTAGATTGTGCTAGCTGATGTTTGAATAGAAGCGATGAGGGCTCCGCCGAGCAGGAAGTTAGCATACAATGTCTCAGCTTCCCACTTTCTCACCCCACTTCCATCAGGGTGAAAACATCAGAACAACAGCGGTACGTTCTTGAAAAAACAACTTGTTCGAACAAAAGGGAACTCACTAGAATTGAAAAATTTATTAACAAAACAATCCGATGGTTAGTTCCACTAACATATAAAACCAGCCGAAGTATTCCAAACAAAGTGATACAACAACCCAAAGTGTTACTTCAATACTAGGGCACATGTAATTACGGTAACCGTAAATAAACCAGTGTAATTATTAGAACAAGATTCTATGCTGATAATCTTGGAGGGGCATTAAAAGGACTGCTCGTTTCAAATAAAATCTAGAGGTAAGGACTTTGACCAAAGCTCCCGTCCCTTCTTTCCTTTCAACGCAGGTTTTTGGCCTAAAAAAAAAGAGCAATCTTGGGGAAAAAAGATCTAGGGTAAGGCAGTCGTATCAGAGATATTTTTTTATTTTGAGCGGAGTCGTACTCGAGCGAAATTCTTCCAAAGGCAGGAAGTGCTCTGTGAGGTAGCTTTGGAGTGGGTGAACCGATCAAAAGTACTGTAATTCTAATCGGATGACGCTATTTTTAGTTTTGCACAGAGTCCTTTAAATGCCCCTCCAAGGTAACTAGTTCAAAATTTGTTAGACACAGTGTTGCTAGCGAATTCTCTAAAAATAAAATAAATAACACTCCTAAACCGCTCTAATTTCAAAAATAATTCTCATGGGCTGGCGATACAATGTACTATTAAAATGCCATGCACTAAAAACTTCCTTAGTTCAAAAATAAGTACTTAGAGAACTAAAAACAGTCCAAGCCGCTACTGCGGTTGGGTAAAGAGCAGAGGGCACAATGTGGTCCTCTGCAAACTCTGCGTCGTTCGTGCTCTTCGCTTGAGCTTAAGCTGACCTGGCGACTACTAAGCCTCAGTGAAGGGAGCGGAAGAGGCAGTAGTTAGTAAGGCTGCTGCGTACTTCAACCCCACCCCCCCCTCCCAACCCAGCTACTCTAGCGCCATAACCAACTTTTGTGAGGTAATAAAATGTTTTCAAAGCGAAACATTCGTGAGAAAATGAAAAGAAAGAAAAGTTCAACGTGGAGACTTCTTCAGTAATCGAAAGATTTCAGAAACTTTCTCAGTCTCCTCCGGTTCTGCGTGCATTGTACTGCTGCAAAGAAAATGATCAAAATCTTTGAACTGAAAAAAAGACGTAATGGTGACAGTACTCAAAAAGGACTAGGAGAACGACTACCAATCAGAGATCTCCTTTCAATCTCATGCTCGCAGTTGTGCTCCTCAGACACGCACGGTTGCTTCACCAAGGCAAAGCTGTTGCGAGGTGTATACCGAATAAGGCATGTCTTGCCGCTCGGGAAAAAAGCTTTGTCAAATACGACACTCCTCAAAATTTTGGTACGTTCCCCTTTCCCATGACCCATTTTGAGCATTCCCAATGTACGACGTGCCCTGGTACTGAAAGCTGCCGCGTGGGCATCTTTGAAGTCGACGAGCTCTGTGTGCCCGTGGATGTGCGCTCAACTTGCTGGGAAATAATCTTTTAGCAGGCACGTTACTACCACTGAGGAGTGAAGTCCCACATCCCCTGCACCTCCTGTGAAGCCCGCCCTAGTGGATTCGCTACACATTCTCGAGTGTTTGTATCCCAAGAAATCAACTTGAACATACCTCATCGTGAGCGGCTTCCCATCTACTGATTGCACTTCGTTGCCCACCACTTTACTACTTTTTGCCATGAGCTGTGATGAGGTTGGATCTAAAAAATAAGTGAGAAGTGTGGGTGTTTCGCACTAACCCACTAACACTGCAAGCTTCACACATTTTACTTCAGTCCAGAATCGTGGTAGCACTTACATGCATCATCTTTGGTAGGTGGGGAGTGTCGGTTAGCACATATGGACCGCGGGCTAGCGGCAACAGCGACGTTGCAGGTGGCGTCGCTCGGCGCACAGTGGATAACTGCGGAGCTGGGTTGTTTTGCCATTTCGGGCAGTTTCAGCGGAATTCCGCGATCCTAATGTCCTGACACACATTAGGATCGCGGATAATCTCAAACTGCCCGAAAGATACTCACTTAGATAATGAGCTGCTACCGATAAACCGTGTAACAGTGGGCTTTTACCCTCCCAGACAGATATTATACTAGTAATCAGAAGATTTCGAAGGGATAAGGAACTCAGGCGCTATTCGGCTTCGAGGGGCATTTGCACTTCGCTAGTTCCTTTTTTGATTCATGTTAACGAAGAGATTTCAGTTTGTCAGACCTGCTGCTACTGTGAAGCTACAAAGTTCCTTGTGTGAGCTTCTTAGACCGCAGCAACATACAGGTCATCCTATGGTTACCTGTAAGTACAAGCTTAGCTGTACCGTCCGGTGCCCCCATCAAGCTGCACTGCGCCAGCATTTTTTTGGTTCTCCTGGGTTGGGATTCCTTCTATGGAAATGAACTTTGGCAACTATCACCACCACCCTACTAAAAAGTGAAGTGCACGCTGGGTAAGGAGATGTCTCCAAGGTCACTGGAGGAGTTTTGCCTTTTCAGATTGCAGAAGTCTTTTTGCCCCCCCCCTCTCCCACGCAGCATGCACCAGTGCCCTTGAATGGTACTTGTTGAGGTACAGAAGATGAAGTCAAATAGCATCTGGTCGGAACCCCTCTTAGCCAACACAATCCTACGTTTAATAAAAATTAATATGCCCTTATGACATT